CGCTGCGCCAATCCGCCTGTCGATAATTTATTAACATTCCTGAAATAAATTCCACACCCTCTCAGACTACCGCAACCTCACAGTTTTGTACCAGCTTTTTTATTTTGATAGAACATAGTTCTTGCCAGAACCAAATACATTTTTTTGCCTTTCTCAAAGAAAATAAGTTGCTGAAACTCCTAGGATATTTAAATTCCATCCGTCCATCCATCATTTACTCTTTCAGGATCATGAGGGTCACTGGAGCCCATGTCTAGCTGTCCTAACTAGACTTTTGTGGTTGTTTACCAGGTATGTTGCATCGCTGGGATGACAGTCAGAAGTATTTATCAGACAGCCCTCACCTGGTGTGTGAAGAGACTGCTAATCACCTTGTTGTCATCTGCATTGACTTGGAGATAGAAGAGGTGAGTACTGTTAGAAGACTGCACATGTTCTGGGTCAGTAAACCCTCCTCTGGGCTGATTGTTTTAAATATCCATGCAGAAACACGCCCTCATGGAGCAGATCGCACACCAAGCCATCGTCATGAGGTTCATCTTAGATTTAGCTCGAACGCTAAACGTCGACCCAAAAGGCTGCTTCAGACAGTTCTTCTCGCAGATCAAGGTTTGCACTTCTGTGGTCTGTTGTGTGTAAGCTTACTGAAATATCTGGGATTTTTTTGTTTATTGTAGCATTTATGTGTTTACGCCAGACTGCAGACAAGCCATACAAAGATGCATTTGATCACGAGCTGGAGCTGCTAAAACAGCGAGTCCGAAGATGTGCCCAGAAACAAATGGAGGAAGCTATGAAGGAGTTGGAGGAAGAGGAGAGGCAGAAGAGACTGGGCCCAGGTGGTTTAGACCCTGTGGAGGTTTATGAATCTCTACCACAGGTAAATCAGTCACACACACGTTAGAGAGCTAAAGGATAAAAGTTTGTTAATGTGAACTATAAAATAAAACAGAACAGATTGCTAAAATTCAAAAGTGGTTCAGGGAGATTTTATTTTCAGTTATAGAATCATTATTTTTGACCCAGCAAAAATAAAAAATACAGCCTTTAACCACGACAAAATCATTTAGAAAAACAAATGTTTTTTCATTCTTTAATTGTAACACATTTAAATAAATCAAAAACTTCTGTTTTCTGAACCATAAATACTGTGTTTATGATTATATTATATTATATTATATTATATTATATTATATTATATTATATTATGATTAAGATTAGAATCTATTTCCATCAGGATACAGGATGCACCTATTTACTGAAATAAAAAACAAAACAAACAATAAGTCTCTGTGCTTGGACTTTGGTCATTTAGCTCTTATTCAATTTTAATAATCCACATGTCACAACACAACTTTAAGAGTTTCAATGTGTTTTTGTAAATCATTTTGCAACAAACTACAAGGAAATTGCTAAAATGAAAATTTGCAGCAGAATAACTTTAAATACTGCAAATGAACATTTGTTATTTATAATCAGAGTATTGCTCAGTTTAAATATTTTGTGTAATTTATTCTAATAAAGAGTAATGTCATTAAACCTCTTCTTACAGTATTTTAGGACCAATCCAAATTTTGTTGTTAGAGGTTTAGCTGTAGCTTATTTACTTATAGCTTATGTGCAACTTGCAATGTTCAGAATTATGTTCAAAGTATATTTTTGTTTTCACAGTTTACCTTCATCTATCACTCTGTTGCTTATGTCTTTAGGTTGTCAGTCTCATCTTCTGAGTCAGAGGTGTTTTAGCTTCAATGTATTGTCCCATCCATTGACTCTATCAGACAAAATCCTGCCTTTTCATTTAATATAAAATAATGCTAACTATGCCTCTGTTCCTCTTTGCCTTAAAGATGCTAGGTGAAAAAAAATGTTTTAGTGCGGAAAGGTTTTTTTCAAAAGCCTTTTTATAATTTCAGACTTGCTTAAGACAAAAAATTCTTGGTACTTTGACAACTAGAAAATGTATTTAAATACAGTAGAGKTTAAAATTTCAGGTGACAAGCATCTATTGATGTGAACTGTGTTTAAGTTGGATTCATACTTTTTGAATCCGTTCTTGCTGGTGTAGTTGTGAGACATTCTTTTCGATTTAATGTGAATCTGCAGCTCAGAACTCCTGGAAAGTTCTAACGTTTAACCCTAACCCTCCACTCTTCCTTCCACATACAGATTTTTGCTGCCCTTAATATGTCCAGATATTTTTTGTTCTACAAACTAAGACAGTAAAAGTTGTTTGGTTGAAGCAAATTTGTCAGGGCGTGACCGGCTCTGTGTCTGACAAAAGGTGCACAACAACGGTTCGAAAGTATTCTTACGTTGCCTGACTGAGGTGGATCCTTGAGAAAGTTCTGCTCAGACCTGGTACACAGAAAGTGTTCTTGGAGCTCATGCGAGAACAAAATGATGCAATTTTTGTCAAACAACCTTATCAGCAAGAGCAGATTTCATATGAATCCAGCTTTACTGATAAAAAAGCAAAGATGTCAAAAAGATCTCTCATCAGTCAGACAGAATCTCTGTTTTTAGGGTAAATAGTATCGTCCTTTAAGTTTAATCATTTTAGCAAAAAACAAACAAACAAACAAACATTTTTTTTGTTTTTATTGAATAAGTTTGAACTCATTCTAGAAAAAAAGATGTGTTTAAACACACCAGTGTAAGAATTTCCTGGTTGACTCAGAGCTGAGAAATAACCGTTTGCAGTCAGCTGTGGCTCCGACGYTTTATGTCGTCGTTTTGTAGGAAATGAAGAGAAGCTTTGAAGAGAAAAACCTGGAGATGCTGCAGGAGGCGATGAACAAGCTGGACCCTGAGGTCAGTGGATGCCTCTGACTCAGACAGAAAAGCAAACAATTCAGCAGAAATGATCAATAGTTCTGTGTTWAACTTGTTTCTGTATGTCTCTGTTTCTACAGGAGGGAAAATACCACCTGAAGAGGTGTGTTGACTCTGGCCTGTGGGTCCCAGATTCAGGAGAATGTGAAGACGAAGAAGATTAGAAATGATTAATGAAAATACACAGTTCCTCACTTTTTTGTAGCTTGATTTTTTTTTAAAGTCATTGATTAAACATGTTAAAAAGACTGAATACAAATAATAATACTGACCCAGGAAATGACACATAAATTAATTTCAGCATTTTTATGCAGTTTACTTTATGAATGTGCATATATCTTTAAATATCAGTAAGTATTTATATTGTATTTATATTGTACGTACAATTCATATTTTGGAAGATAATTTAAAAAAATGTTTGTCCAGATTTATTCCCAGTGTCTTAGAACTTAAAAAAGACTATCTAATATCAAAATAAGTTTAGGCATATGTTAAACAACAGGAACAATAAAACAATGTATTTTAATGTATTTTTAATTAAACATGTTTTCTTATTCGTGTATTATGGTTTTAAGTTRTATTTCAAAGATTATCTCAGTTTGTTAGAAACATCTTTAACTTACAGAAGTCAGTGTAAAAATATTTATTGGAGCTTTTTAACATTTCCATCTACATCTGCATTTGATAATAAAAATAATATTAAATTGAATCTAGCTTTATTAATATAGATAAGTCTGCCTTTTGTTTGCTTGATCAATAAAGATTTAATTCAAGAAAGTGTAAAATRATTCTCTTGTTCATCAAGATAACTAAATATTTTCAGCCTGAAATTTTGTRAAAAGTTTTAAAAAATCGGCGGAGCTTAAACAATATTTTCAGACTCAGTTTATTGTGATTTGAGACGATTATATAGGTAAAACAAAACAAAGTTACCCAGGACAGGTTGTGGTGTGTGGTACAAATAAAAAGAAAAATATTATTTTTACATTATATTTAGTTGATATAAAAAGTGACAATTTAATATGAACTGTAATATTTATCACTATTACTAGATAATTGCTGATTAATTTTCTTTGTATGGATTTTTACATTACTGAGCTGTTAGTCCATATGCTGTTAAGACATGGGGCATTAAAAGTTATCAAAACGGTGAGTTTTCGAGCATGTTAAGGGRGCGTGGCCAGGCCTCAAAAATGACCTTCTTGCCAAAAAAAAATTGGCCTTGGAACCAAAATGGCCGTTTTCCTGTTGGTTTTAGTGCATACCTCCAAGAGACTTTTTGTCTGTATTTGGGGAGATCTACCTCTGTGCAAAATTTCAACTCTCTAGGACTTACCAGTTCCTCTAACTCACGTTTGGTGGCGCTGTTGAGTCATTTGGCCACGCCCATTAAAAATTCCAATAGAATTATAAAGAGCACCTCAGAGCCAGGTCTTTTTTTTTATAAATTGTTGACATCTCAGTGAACATCTGCTTCTAATATTTGATTAATTGACTGTTTTGTTATTCATCTGTGACTTCTTAGTTTATGGGATTTTTATTGCGCTTAACAAGAAATCCAGTAGATCTTCTTTAATATTTGTAATATTTGTATTTCTAGTTGAATCTTGTTTTTTTTGTGGTATACTAAGCTTAATTTTTGTTCTATGTGTTGCTATCAATTCATCTGAACCCTGACTGGTTTGTTCTGTTACAATTTCCTGGTTTGCCTCCTCTCTCCTTCACTCTTCTTCATAATTAATTGGTGGGTTTGTTTTAGTGGCTGATGCTGGCTTTATTTTTCATTTTTTTATCCAAAGCTTCTTTGTGCATTCACTTTTGGAAATAGGAAACAATCAGTGCAGGTCAGGGTCATAAAACAAATTGAGATAATTCCTAAAATGAGCTGATTGGAGAGTGACAGAACTGCCTCACGTCCTTTCCTTATGCTGTTATGTAAAACTGAAAAAGCCCCGAACTGAATGTCATTAACAAATTACCTGCACTAAGAAATCACTGTATTAAAGGGATAATTCGGCTCTTTTGATTTTGGATTTTTTGTAAATAATATGAACAATTAGATTAATAAACAAAGTTTATGTCCGACYGAATTGACGAGCTAACAGGTAGTCTAAAGTTGTTTTTCAATTGTCCAGTCTCATCATGACTTGATTAAACTCTACTCAGGTCTACAGGGTCTCGTTGGTTTTTAATATAACTTGAGTGTGGGCAGGATTGCCGTAGGGCGGTCGTCAAGTGGTGAGTCAAGCCCATGGAAAAAGGCATGGAKCTTTTTCACCAAAGGCCACGTGAGCATTATAGTTGCCCTCAAAAGGCCAGTTATAATGAACTTCAATGTTCCTCATCTCGTTACAGCTGAGCACCACTAACAAACAATACCTGAGCTCTACGTGGTATTTCATGCATAGGAACAGTATTTAAACACATTGTCTTATAAACACTGAAAAGTACTACATGTACAACTGACTAAAAGTGAAAYAAATAAYRCAGAAATACTAYTAAAAGTGAGTTTTACTCATAGTTAAATTGTGGTGAGTAGCTGTCATCTTGAAATCTGAACTCCCACTTTTTGACAGAAAATTTCGTTTGGTGGGTTGTTCTAGTTTATATTTACGACTTGTAAGTGGGAAATTCCCATTTTCCAAAACAACTGTGCCACAGCAAAAGTAGGCAAGAATGCATCAAAATAGTAATTTTACAACACGTTTTGTTGGTTGTCGGCTTTTCTTGAATCCTKTGCACCTCCACCTAGTGGTGGGATGCCATTATTTTGCTGGTACAATAATCGACATTTTATAGCCGATGCTGGTTTTTAAAGCAGAATATGCTTTTTTAATACATTAATGGATCTTTAAAGCTCTTGTAAGCCACATAAAATGCTGTGGTGGTCCATATTTGGGCTACGGGCTTTGAGTTTGACACATGGCCTAGAGTGTGGCCAAGCCCAAAGTGGACTGGGAACAATGGGAATGCTTTTAATCATTGTAAGTTTCACATGTCATGGTTATTCTAGAAGAAACTACATTCCTTTCTGAAGTTTCCCTAGATGCACTGAAAGTGCTACAGCTAGCTGCTGCTGTTTCTTTGTGATAAAAAAAACTTAAAATTACATCTAAATAACAGTTTATTGTAAATGAAATGGAGACAAAAGTACTGTTTAAAAAAACAGTGTAAAATCTTATAAAACTAAAGTTGTTTTAGTACGTCGGCAGCGCGTCTTGGCCTGTCTGATAGCCGTTAGCTTGTTGTTACGATCAGACTAAAGCATGTTTCTCCAAACTGAAATGATTCAAAGAAACATCTACAACACGTACGATATTAACTGTTTATAATCTCCCTGCAGAACGTGAAAAGGTCTGAAATACCCCTGCAAACAGCTTGATGACTGTCATCTGATCAGGTATGAAGAGCTTCAAAACAAAATTATTACAAAACAGTCTTTGGCTTTTTGTTTTTCCTCTTGAAGAGAGCCTCTGTGTCCATATCTGTATTTAAAAAAAGATGAATAAAAGAAAAGAACGGCATGATTCATGTTAGTAGGTGGTTTAATTGTGTAAACGTACTGAACGCCCTTGAATGGCTGTGTAAAGGACACAACAAACAGGAACAGGCCACATTGGCAGAGTGAGAAACCATCAGGACACATAAATGCTTATTGGGATTTGTTTTTTCCTTTCTAATATGAGTGGTGTTTTTTTTAATATGAGGATATGGTCTTTATGTGTGTGTGTGTGTGAGAGAGAGAGAGGGAGGGAGGGAGGGAGAGAGAGATATGCCTGGCTGTTGTAACAGGGTGAGTGTACAGCTGATAATAAAAGAAAAACCAGGCTCTGCCATAAAAAAAAAAGAGAAACAGCAGGGGTAACGATGGAAAGAGGAGGAGCGGAGACTGTTGAAAGGGATTAATGGACAATACTGTGAGGGAGGAGGGAGGGAGGCTAGATGGGCTTCTCCATGGAGGCTGTGGTGATGGCAGGAGGAGGAGGGGGTGACTGGGGGAGACCACTGTGGCAGGGGGAGAGGGAGGAAAAGCTGTTGATATTCATTAGAACGGCGAGTGTGTTTTTCTCTCGCTGTGGCGATGCACTGCAATGTCTTCAGACAGGCAGGCAAAGCAGCGGAGACAGGACGAGGCAGAGTGAAAGCAAGACAGAGCCCAGCCCATCCCGCCATTGATCTTCAGGCGATCAAGGTGAGCGTGTGTGTGTTTTTTTTTTTTCCTTCTTGCATCCTGCAGCGTGCATGTGTGGATGCTCGTGTGCACGTGTGGCTGTCTGACAAACACACACCTCTGGCTGTTGGCAGCGTGTGCAGACAGACATGACAGCCGAGCAATMACTACGCGTGCATTTCATTTATTTACACGTTTGGGTGTTTTGGAGCAGGTCGGCGCTTTGGCTGCATGCTGATGCATTGCTGCTTGGTCTCCCTAAGCTGCTTTATCTGTGGCGGAGGTGGTGCTGGTGGCAGCCATGGTGCATGTATATATGCTCAGTTTGCTTTTTGTCTGTCTGTCTGTATATATATGTCACTGTGTCACTCTGCATTTGTTGATATCCCCCTGCAGACCTGTTATTACCCCGTGCCGACTCTGCTGTGTAAGTCCTTGTTTTGCTGAGGGTGTGTTTCCTATGACCCTGGTTAAAAGTCATTTCCAACCACTATATGCCATTATGCCAGTTCAGTCTGAAACACTCTGATATGCTGAATCTGCCCCATCCTATGGAACTGGGTCAACTTGGATTGCTCAGAGTAATTATATAACATCAGAGAGCCTTGGTGTTGCAGTGTCTGCTCGGAATTAGCCACAATGTATGTGAAGTCGTTGCAAGACCAAAGTATGTTTTTCAAATCTAGTATTTGTCCAGCTAAATAATTACTTAGTCTGAACATCTCTTGTTTTTTTTTAGTCCAGGAGTTCCCTGTTCATTAGTAATTTATCAGTTTCCTATCTATTGGAGTGGATTGTTTCCTACTGAATATGTGAGAGTAAGAGGCATCTTGGCTGAAAGTGAGGTAATAAGTTACAAAACAGAAAAGATGAGTCAAAGATAAAATACGGGGTTTTATGATTCTTAAAGGGATCCCTGATTAGTTGTAACATTAGACTTTATTTGATAAACATTTATTTTAACTGTAAAATAAAGACTGTAAAAATACTGTAGGCTGTTTAGTTT